TGATCCTCGCTGCTGTCGCCTCGTGTTCGCTTCCTGCCCGATCGCCGTTTCGCCCGAGGCTTCGCTTCCTCTGCACCCACTTCGTTCTTGAGCCAATTGATGTTGTCTTCTGTGAAGTGCATCCAAATAACCTGTGTGTTGATCCCCTCCAGCAAGACTTTGAGGCCATGTTGTCGACATTCGATGTCGATCACTTCTGGCAGCATGAGCATGTGCTTGCTGCCTGCCCTGACAACCTTGTTCTTCTTGGCACCTCGGGCGGCCTGTGCATCTTGTGCCTGCCCGTTGTCAACTTCGAGTGCTTCCTGGAGCTTCTGGTTGGCAACCTTCTGTCGCTCCTCCACGATCTCATCCCAGAGCTTTGCTTTGAGACTGCCGGATTCCGAAGCCTTCCCCGGGAGCTGCGTTTGGGGTATCTTCGGGGTTTCCTCTGCGTAGGCAGTCTGTGCAAGCCAGAAGCAACCAGGCGCCTTTGGCGTTGTGAGTTTCTTTATGCGGAGTCAAAACATTTCCTCCAAATGTATCGCATTCGCACATCGAACTCAGTCTCTTAACAGTCTTAGATGCTTGAAATGCGGTAGCATGATGCAACATTGCTTTCGCACTTCTCTTGATATCGCTTGCCATGGATCAGCATCCTTCGAATCTTTCAGCATGTCCATCACAGAGTGCGAACCGGAGTGTTATGGATCACGGACGACCGGCGCATCCTGGTTGGGCTGCACACAGCTTAGCAACTGCGATGCCTGCGATGCAGTCTGGTGTGCCTTACGGGCCACACCCACAGTGGCAAGAGCTAGCGCAGCCTTGCCCTTCGGCATTCTCGCTACAAGCGCAGATGCAGTATGGTATGCCGGGTATGCCTGGTGTGCCTTACCTTCCGATGCAGCCTTGGCCATCACAGATTGCCTCCCAGTCACCACCTGTGCAATTTGTGGCACAGAGAAGACATCTTTCAGGACGGCCGCAGCAGCAGCGACAACTTGACCGAAGGTTTTGTTTAGTTGATAGAGAGGGAAACCACAAAGCCTTTTCAAGCGTCAGTCAAATAAGTGGAGCGAACTATGAACAGATGATATACAAGGTTTTTGAGCAGGTCTGCCGCAGCGGTTCTTCTCGGATTCTCAGCGCGGAGAAACCTCAAACAACTCCAGAATATGAGCGATTGCGCAAGTGCGCGCGGAAGGTTGCAAATTTGCTGCAATGCACTGTGTCTGACGATGCTGCAGAGAGCATGAGAAGGAAAGGTCATGGGCAGTTTGAGGCCGAAATTGACTTAGTCTCCAAGGGTTCCTTCGCGAAGTTTGACAGCAAACTACTCCGCCAACTAGGCGAAGTCAAGGTCGAAGCCACCTGCGAAAAGGTTCGAACGGTGCTTGTGGAGATTTGCTCTGACAGCCGCTTCGTGCCCATGAAGCTCTACCAGATTGAGATCCAAAGCTGCCTCATTGCACGGAGCGGAAAGCTGGATGGCAAAGCTCTGGAACCAGACAAGACTGGCTTTGCTATTGTTTTCAATTGCGCAGCTATACATATCGCGACGTCTGCGCTGGTGGAAGAACTTGGTCTTGACATGGTCCAGAGCTTGCTCAAGAACAAGAAGCTGCACATCGTGTACTTCCAACCAGAGGCTGTGACGCCAGCAGCATTGAAAATGGCAAGCGACGCAAGAGCGGAGGCAAGCGACGCAAGAGTGGAGGCAAGCGACGCAAGAGCGGAGGCAAGCGACGCAAGAGCGGAGGCAAGAGAGGCAAGAGAGAAGGTGGACAAATTGGAGAAACGCCTTGAAGGCATCCGCAGGGTTAACCTTCGCGTGAGTTATGCACTGCAGTGGTTTCTACGTTGGCATGTCAGTCTGCGGGGCTCTGCAGGCGCTACCTCGGCGTCATCCACTGTCTGGGTGCGGGAGCTAGACAGCAAGGAAAGTGCTGCGTGCGAGAGCAAATGTCAGTAACCGCATCCTACCAAGCTGCTAAGCGGGCCCACTTTGTGCTTACTGTGGGGCACGGAATCTGCTCGCTGTTGGGAGTAACTGCTTCAGCGGCGACGACGGCCTCGGCGACGACGA